AAAAAAAAAAAAAAAAAAGAGTGGAAGAACAAAAACTTAATAAAATCCCAAAGTCTTTAAAAAAAAAAAAGTGATGCCACGTGATGAGCACAGCATTATCCATGACACTTTTCTTGCCAAAATATTTAACTTGCCTCTATCAAGCCTTTAGATTGAACCTCCAGTTTACAGGAGAAGCAGGGTACAGGGAAACAGACGAAATGGTCTCAGTAGGAAACCATCAGATGACTCCAGCTGGGCGCAGCGGCTCACGCCAGTAATCCCAACACTAAGAGGCCAAAGTAGAAGGATCACTTGAGGCCAGGAGTTCGAGACCCATCATGAGCAACACAATGAGACCTCATCTCTACAAAAAAGTCACAAACTGAGCTGGGCATGGGGACATGCACCTATAGTTCCAGTTACTCAGGAGGCTGAGGTGGAAGGATCACCTGAGACCAGAAGGTTGAACTTCAGCTGAGCCATTATCATGACACTGCACTCCAGCCTGGATGAAGAGTGAGACCCCCGACTCAAAAAAAAAAAAAAAAGACAGATGATTCCAGAATGTGAGACGTTCTCCAGGACAACCCAAGTAGTGAAAGGAGAAATGATGGGGCAGGACTAAAAGACTCCTGAAAGACTTAAGGACCTGATGTCATGCATGTCTTTGTCAGCTGTGAGGAACTTTAGAAGACAAATGGGAAATTCATTGATGTGAAAAATAGAGATAGCTAACTGAGAGAGCAGGTTACAAAACAGTATTACCATTACCGTGTGATCTCAGTTTGATTTAAAAAAATACATACATAAATACATGGAGAAACATCTAGAAAAATATCCAATAAGATTTAGCAGTGGAGTCCGAGTTGTATGAATGTTATATTTTCTTATTTTTATCTTTCTGTATTTCTTTCTACAATGTAGATATTCTACTTTGGAAATAATGAAAGGGGTTTTTTTTTAAACTTTTTATTTATTTGTTTGTTTGTTTATAGAGATGAGGTCTCCTTAATGTTGCCCAGGTTGGTCTCAGACTCCTGGCCTCAAGCAATCCTCCCACCTTCGCCTCTCAAACTGTTGGGATTACAGGTGTGAGCCACTGTGCCCAACCTACACTTTTTATTTTGAAATAACTATAGATCCACAAGGAACTGCAAAAAGAATACATAGAGTTTCATGTACCCATCATTTCCCCCAAGAATGATATCTTATATACAGGTAGTACAATATAAAACTAGGGAATTGGCCAGGCTCAGTGGCTCAGCTTGCAATTATAGCACTTTGAGAGGCCAAGGCAAGTGGATTGCTTGAGCCCGCGGGTTCAGTCCAGGCTGGGCAACTTGACGAGACCTCATCTCTACAATAAATAAAAAATTAGCCAGATGTGGTAGCATGCGCCTGTAGTTCCAACTGCTTGGAAGACTGAGGCAGAAGGATTGCCAGAGTCCAGCAGGTCAACGCTAGGGTGGCCGTGAGCATGCCACTGTACTCCAGTCTGGGTGACAGAGTGAGACTCAAAAAAAACAAAACACTAGAGAATTGGCCAGATGTGGTGGCTCACACCTGTAATCCCAGCACTTTGAAAGGCTGAGATGGAAGAACTGTTTGAGTCCAGATATTCAGCCTGGGCAACAGTCTCTACAAAAAAATCAAAATTGCCAGGCATAGTGGTTCATGCCTGTAACCCCAGCACTTTGGGAGGCTGAGGAAAGAGGATTGTCTGAGCCCATGGGTTCGAGACCAGCCTGGGCAACATGGGGAGACCTCACCTCCACAATAAATAAAAAACTTAGCTGAGTGTGGTGGCACACGTGTGTAGCTCCAGCTACTTGGAAGGCTGAAGTGGAAAGATGGCCTGAGCCCAGCAGGTGGAGGCTGCGGTGGCCATGATTGTGCCACTGCACTCCCGCCTGGGCGACGGAGTGAGACTCCAACTCAAAAAAAAAAAAATCAAAATCAATAAATTAGTCGGGTGATTGCATGCACCTGTAGTCCCAACTATTCAGGATGCTGAGGCAGAAGGATTGTCAGCCTGGGGGACAAAGCAGAACCCTAACTCAAAACAAAAACAAAAACAAAAACTAGAGAATCATTAATTAGACCACAGAACTAACTCTGCCACCCCTTTATGTCTACATGACTCTCCTACATTCCTGTTCCATGGCAGCCACTAATCTGTTCCCTATCTCCATAGTTTTGCCATTTTGAGAATGTTGTATAAATTATCATACAGACATAACCTTTTGAAACTGACCATGAGCATGCCTCTGCACTCCAGCCTGGGTGACAGAGTGAGACTCCAACCCAAAAAAAAAAAAAAAAAAAGTTGAGAGGTTGAGGTGAGAGGATTGCCTGACCTCTTGGGTTCAAGACCAGCCTGGGCAACTTGGTGAGACCTCATCTCTACAATAAATTTATTTAAAAAACTAGCTGGACTTAGTGGCGCACACCTGTGGCTCCAGCCACTTGGGAGGCTGAGTTGGAAGGATCGCCTGAACCCAGCAGGTCGAAGCTGCAGTGGCTGTGAGCACACCACTGCACTCCAGACTGGGCAACAGAGTGAGACTCCAACTCTAAAAAAAAAAAAAAAGAATATATTGCCA